CTGGTGCTGGTGAGCATGGAGGGGTGTTGTGGGGAGCTCATGCCATGGGTTTTTTCCAAGCTGTCACTGAATTCTGGTGTGTGGATGTGGCAGGAACCGAAGCTCGGGTGGGAGGACACTACACCCACAAGGCAGGGGCACTTGGAGGTTCTGCCACTGCTGGAGGCTGCACCAGGAGCAGCCAGTCTCGAGCGCTCCTCTAGTCCAACTTTCTGGCTGTCTACCCTAGAACCACCACCCCATCTTTGCACATGCAGGCTAATGTAGGGATGGAATGGTAAAAGCCCAGAAATGGCCTCAGTATCCACTCAGGACTGATGGACTCAGCCAGGGCTGTTTGTGTACCATGTTGGCTGTGGCTAAGGATGTTCTCTGTCTGGTGTGTCCTGGAGAAGCTGTGTCCAGGGAAGGAACATCATCTCCTCCAAGCCCCTCTCAGTGCTGGGTGAATTGTGGTTGCCTGGGCAAACAAGGTGGGATGAGCCCCAGAGGCAGAGGTCAAAGCCCACTGGGGTTGGAGAGGAAGGGCTGGACATAGTGAACAGGAAGGGCATCTCAGATGTGTTCAATGAAAAACTATGAGGAAACAAAGCAAGCAGCAGAAAAAAGCAGCAGACAACCACATACCTCTACATTTTTCACACGCATGCACGTGTCATCTCTGGCCCCTTGATCCAACCTTGTCTGCCATTCACTCTCCCTTTCTCTGGTGTCAGTACTTCCAGTTTCAGCCTAGGGGGCACTAGTGATGCCACTCCACCCCCTGTGGGGGGGGTAGCTTTGGCCACTTTGCTCCCAGACCACATGCTCAGGGATGGATACCCCCTGCCCCTGCTGGGATGGTTTGTGGGGGCGCTCTGATCATCAGACATTGCTTGACTCCCCACCCTGCCTTCTCCAGAACAGGAGGTCCTTGGACAAGGGAAGGCTACCAGTTCTCTTATTGTGCTCCTGCATCTCCCCTGAATTATCCTGGGGCAAATGGATTTGAGTCTGATTGGTGAGCAGTCTCTGGTCCCTCATGCAGCTTCTGGTCCCTGCACCCCCTTCTGGATTTTCCCTCCAGATACCTAGCTATAGGCTCTGACCTGAAGGCACACAGGCCAAGCCCTGAGGGGGAAGGAAACTGGCAGGAGGCCAGGCCCACCCAGCCCCTGTCCTGGGAGTGTCCCTTGAAGCTGCCCAGCAGAAACAATCCAGATGTCCACACAATGAGTGGGTAGCTGGGGGTGGGGCAGGCTGCGTTGGAGTATTACTCAGCCCTGAAGCAGTAGGGTCCTCAAAGAGGGCAGTTTAAGAATGCGGGAAAGCAGGGACCAAGGCTGGCAGTGTGTGTCAGCCAGAGTGTCCAGAACTGGCAGATTCGTAGTCTGAGAGTCGGCTGGTGTTGCTAGCAGCTGGCAATAGGCTGGTGGTGAGTCAGGTGGCTATTTTGGGAATGATGGAATGTTCTGGAATTAGCAGACACACTACTCTGAATAAAAACAAATGAATGCACTTTTTCAAAGGGTGAGTTGTATGGTGTTAGTGGCAGCTCAAAGCAAGAGCCGAAGTTGGTGTTGGGTGCAGGCCTCAAAGTCCACAGGGTTGCCCCCTGAGGAGCCTCCTGGAGGCTGTACCTCCTCATGGGCAGCACCCCAGCCTGGGAGGCATCTTTGTTGCTATGCACATGGCTGAGATACTCAGTGCAGAGGCTTGCGGATGGGGTGTCAGCAGGATAGCAAGGTGGCAGCTCTGGCAGCACCCTTTCTTGGTGCTTCATGGGGCAGCCAAGCTAATCCATTCCCCCAGACTGGTGGCCCCTGGTTTGAGCATGGCTGTCTGCAAGTGCTCCAGCTCAGGATGTGGGGGCCTGGGTGCAGGCACTGGGGAGATGGGACTACAGAGGGCGCAGACCCTTGGAGGTGGCAGCAGGAGTGGGGCAGTGGGGCCATTGCTGCCCCATGCCCTGGGGGACCTTGAATAGGCTGCATCTCTCATACCTGAGCCCTGAGGGCCCCTGCTGCTCAGGACTTTGACCTGCTTTGCTGTCTCATCACCCCGAAGCCCCTTGCTAGCTCACCAGTCCATTCTTGTCCCCGTCACCCTCGCCAGAGCCCTTGCCTTGCTCTACCCTCCAAGAAATTGCCCTGCTTTATCCCCCACCAACCGTCCCAAAGCTCTGTGGGTTCACCCATCTCCCCTCAAGACAGGGGCAGCACCTTTTACCTTGTCCCCTTGGCCTTTGGGCAGCACCCCCCACCTGGCAAGGAGCTCACCCATCCCTTAGTGTCAGGCTCCCCAGCCAGGCCCCAGCGTAGGCACCCCTCTGGAGGCCCTGCTATCTCCAGACTCTACTAGACTCCCACCCCTCCCCAGTGGGGCCTCCCATCCTCTGCTGTGTGGGGATATAGGAAATCTAGGTGTCAAAAGTGTTTAGAAAACTGTCATGTGCTTTTATTTCAAAAGCACCCATCCTGGATGTGTTACAGGCGATGATTCCTGTTTTGTCAACAGGTAACTTCCTTGGTGACATCTCAGCCCCAGGGTTCCACTGTTGGTTCTGAAGAAATAACCTGTTGGGATGTCCCTGACATCTGGGAAGATGTGTGGGTGCCCGAGGCAGCGATGTGTGCCTCAATTTCCTTATAAATGGACTCAAGTTTAGAAAAAATGTACCTTCTTCAGGACAGCCACATCATGGAGCTGGTGCCCTCTGGGGACCGGGCATGGGGCTCAGGTACCCTCAGCCACCCCCTTCCTTGGCTGATGCCGTTGGTGCTGGCAGAGCCAAGAACACTGGCTGTCCACAGGGCTCCTGGCCAGCATGCCATGGCTCTCTGGCAGCCCAGGGCAGTCTGGGACTGGCCACAGGGCCACTCTTTGAGTGCCCGCTGCCCCCAACTCCAGATGGGCTGGAGCACACCTGGCCTCTCTTGGAGCTGTTGTTCTCCATAGCCAGACTGCCAGTCCTTCTCTGGCCGACTTGGGGGTCGGGGGGTGCGATTAATGGGGGGAGGGAGGGTTGACAGCGCCTTTGCCCAATGTGAGAGGGCTGAGGCCTGCGGTGGCTATGGGGATTGCCCAGCTCTGGCATCTCCAGGCTGCCCAGGCCCTGGCAGCCTCTCAGGTAGGGCTGGTTATGCCTCACTGGATGCTAGGGCAGCTGCCCTGCAGCTACAAGACACACAGGCTGGGGACAGGGCAACTGCATGGGCTAGTCAGCATACCAGAGGCCGGCAGCTGCCTGTACTGCCTCTCACAACTACTGACCCACTCGGGCTCCTGGCCTGTATTGTGAACATGAACCTCAGGGCCCATGGGCGGCTCTTGGTGGGGTCTAGACCAGACCCAAGCTGGTGCAGGGAGAACTGCCCAGAGCAGATGTCAAGGTCTGTGGTGCCACCTTCCTAAAGACAGTGGGAAATATCATTTATGACAAGTTTATTAGTGTTTTTAAGTGCCTTAGGAAACCACTGTCAGTCAAAGAGAAGGCTCTTTTCCCAAGTTCCGATGGCAGCGGTCTCTGAGGTGGATGCCCAAGGCAGGGCCCAGACAAGGGTGGGGATAGCCCATCGCCCACCCCAGCACCCTGGTCACACCTGGACCCTGTGGGTGCATGATGGGCAGCACCAGCCCTGGTACTTTCAGCAGCAGAAGGGTAGTGGGTTCACGGGCAGGTAGGTGCTACAACAGGCTGCAGTCTGGCAGCTGGACAGGGACCGTAGGTGGCCAAGGGGAGGTTGGGCTGGCCTGTCCTGCATTCGCACCCAGTGCACAGGCCATGGGGTGGAAGTCTTGGCCCTGCACTGCCCCACAGGGGAAGCACGTGGGTGGGGCTCTCCACCTGCATGGGCTGCCAGATGACCACCCCACACGGTGCCCCATGACTGCCTCCCCAGGGGTGTCCATCCAGGCCTGAGGATGAGGGGAGGCAGGGAGTGCGTGGGAGGGGTCTGATAAGTGACACTGGCACCTCCTCCCAACTTGTCTGGAGACCCTGACCCAGAAGTCATAACTACAAAAGCCAATTTTCGCCTGCAACAAAACTACAGACCAAGGCAAAAGGGCAGGGCGAGTTCAGAGGAGCTGCTGCCAAGGCAGGGCTGACCTTACAGCTCAGCAGGAAATTCCGCAGCGACAGCGCTGATGGGGAGTCAGTGTGCAGGGCCACGAGCTCTGAGATGCAAGGCGGCTCAATCTTACAATTTAAATCGTGGAACTAAAAAGAATGTTCTTTTATCTTTCTGATTCCACAAGGAAAGGGTGTCTGAGCCTGCGGGGGAGGGGGTGCCGTGTGCACCAGAGAGGATTTGTGGGGGCTGGTGCTGCAGGTGCACCCAGCAGACACCAGTCTTCCGGCAACAATGACACCCTCGGCACTCAGGGCGTCTCACCTACGGCCTCTGTCCCAGGTTGCCCCGTGCCTGGGCCTGGGTCTAGAGACAGACTTGTGGAGGCACAGAGGTCCAGGCCATACCATGGGAATCTGTCCACATAAATGCCGGGTGGCTACTGACAGGATGCCTCTGGGGTGCAGCAGTGAGTAGGGAACACCTGGCTCCTGCCCCCCCCAATATAGCTGGGGTGTGCCAAGCCTCCCAACCTAGGGAGGAGGTAGCTGAGTGCCAGGGAGTTGGCAGGGATGGCATCACACATGACCACCCTCGTCCCGCACAGAGCATGGCTGCAGCATCCGACTACCCAGGAACCCCATGGGGTCAGGTGGGACCCCAGGAACATCAGGAGCTGCAGGGCTCACTGCTCATTTCCAGGTGAGCAAAGTCATTGGGGATGTGGCCTGCTCTGTGTATACTTAAGAGACTAGCCCCCCAGGGCTGAGTCCAGGGCTGTGCTGAGCAGCAGGGTGGCCTGCTTACAGAACACTGGTAGCAGGGAGGCCGACGCCACAGGGTCTGCCGGCACCAAGAGCCTGTGCTGCAAGTGATGACCCCCCAGGACAGACCAAGTGACTCGCCAGCCACAACAGGACAAGGCCACTAAATCCCTAGCTAGAAAGGTGTTTTTCTCCCATTTTATTTGTTAATACATTTTCACAGAAACATGATATTATTTACAAATATACAGGTAAGAGACTGCTGGTCAAAAATCTTAAACTCAAAATGTCATCAAAAGTTAATTTACAAAAACACCGGCTGCCCGGGGAGCCCAGCAAGGGCTCCTGGCGGGTGCCCTCAGGAGGCGCTGGTCTGCATGTTTTTGGAAGCCGCGAGCATTGCTCTGACTTTGGCCATGAGGTCCTGTCAGAAGAGACGGGCTGCTTGAGCTATGGAAGAGCTCCAGGCACTCAGGCTGCTCCCAGGGCCCAATGACATGTGGCTGGGAAGTCCCAAACGGTGGGGATGGCTTCACACCACCCACAGCTTAGGGATTTGGGAATTTGGGAAGGGATGGGCCAGGGCAAAGCCACCCCCAGGGCACAAAGGTAAGGAGGACAGGGAGGGACAGCCAACCCTTTGTGGACATGGGGAGGGAGACCCCCTTTCACCTGAGTGATTTTGCTCTGCACGGAAGAGACAATCGCTGAAGAGATCTGACCGTCTTTTTCCTGAGAAACTCCCCTGGGGTAGACAGAAAGAGAGGTCAGGGCTGAAGCCGCCCAGCCCTTAGCAGTCCCAGAGCAGGCTGCGCCAGGACTTGGGCATTGACTGCGTATCTTCTCTGCTTCTTTAAAGAGGAAATCAGCGTTCTTCAAGTTTACCTTTGTGCATGTTTGAGATGTTCTAAAAGGTTGTATGATTCAAAGCAACTCCACAGTGAGCTGCTGACCAAGACATCTGGACCCCCACCCCCACCCTTGAGGGTCTGTGTCGGGGGAGGGGGGTCGCCTGCATCCTGATGGGTCACTGATGCTCACAGGGTGGGGGAGCATGGCTGGGCGCTGTCTTTTGTGTGGAAGGTAGGGTGCCAGCCTAGATGTTCTGTGCCTGGCTGTGGGCCTGTGGACAATGGGCAGTGGCCGGGAGAGCTGGGCTAACCTGGGGAAGGGGGCTTACCTGGACCGCTCCTGGCTGGAGCCCCGGCTCTCCACAGGAGAGACGCTGCCCGAGTGGGCTGAGTGGGCCGAGTGCCGGCGTGCAGCTTGTCTGCTTGGGGACCCCGACCGGGATCTGGCCTTGGACTTGGTCCTCGACCGTGAGCGCCTCTTTTTCTTCTTCTCATGGGGGCTTCTGGAAGAAAAGTGGGTTCAGGACAGACCCAGGTAAGCTGTACAGGAGATTCCCGGACATGGGGGTGCAGGGACCAGGGTGGAGCATGTACATAAAACACACTTCTGAAGGACCCTCTGTCCTGATTTCCTTACGATTCTTGACTGAATTGGCAGTTCGCACTTAAAACACCTCAGATAAGCAACCATAGCTGTTTATATGTCTATTCATTTATGCTGATTTTAGTGAGAATTTCTAATAGAAATGGAAAATTGGAAACTCAAGCCCCCCACAGGCACTCAGCACAGCTCTCTGCCTGAAAAGGGTTCCAGGGGCCGTGCAGCAATCCCACCCACATACAGCACAAGACTGCAGAACTGCCCACACCTGGCCTGGTGGCTCCCTCCCCCTGCAGAGGACAAACACCCTGTGTCCAGAAAGGCTTTATCCTCCCGCCAGGACCCCTAGGCCCCAAACACAGACACCAATTTTTGCTCCACCAGTTCCCATCTCTGCTCTGCTGTTCTTTCCTTCCACCACTGTTCTCAGGGTCATGCCCCTTGGGGCAACATGGCCTGTGGTGCCGGAAGCTGCCGGGAGCCCCTGAATATTCAGGAACCTTCCAGCACCCACCAACACTGAACTGATGCTGCAGCCAATTTTGAGTTTCCAATTTTCCATTTTTTTGTTAGAAATTCTTACTAAATCTCACTCTGCAGCCCTGCACGCACAGCTCCAGCCCCAGGCCTTGTGCCATACCAGGTGTGAGAGCACTGCCCCCATGCTCACAGGACACTCACAGCAGGCTCCGCTTCCACAAAGCCCCTCTGACCTTTTTCAAGATTATCCTATCAATTCTCTGTACTCTGTTTCTACACATCCTGCTTGTGGTCTCCATAAAGCTGGTGTGGCTCCAACAGGGCCATGTGGGATGCTGGTCTGCCTGGAGGCGTTCAGCAGTACTGAGTCCCCAGGGCTCAGACTCAACGCACCCATTTGATGTATACAGTTACCTGGTTCCCAGGGCAGCACACACCCCTGCTCCTGCTCAGCCCGTGCCCCTGAAGTTGCCCTGTTGCCAGTTCCACCCTGTTATTCATGGGGCACCCTGAGGGCTCCGTCCCTAGTGAGAAGGCAGTGTCCCCACTTCAGTGCAGGGGCCCTTCTTGCCTGGGGTCTGGCCAGCAGAGGCCCTGGCTGGCAGGTGCGCTGCTGCCTGTGGGCTCTCAGAGACGCTTGGATGGGGGCATCCTGCCCGTCTTCTGAGGCTGAAACTCTCCTTTGTTATGAAACATGTCCTGAACTATATCACACTTTTCTACATGGGCTGAGATATTTCTTGATTTATCCTGGGAGCATAACGAAGTCCAGAGACTGGCTTTGGGTGGTGAAAAGGGCCAGCTCTCTGGAGCCAAATATCACCTGACGTGCTGTCACCCTTTCATCCTTGAATGCTTTGGGTGTTGGAGGATCTTCAAACCTGTTCTGCTGAGTTCACTTGAGCATACCCACCACCCCTCATCACCCCACTCCCCCATGTCCACACACCACCCCACTTGAGGCCTAGATTATCTGCTCCAGCAGCTCCGCACCCCCACCCCCTACTAGTCCGGCGTGAGGGCCCCAGGGCAGAGGCAGCTGGGGCTAGCACTTTCTAGCCATGCCTTAAACGATCAATTTCATTTCCGCAGGAGATGGAAGTCATTGAGATTTTTTATTTTCCCAGCTCCGCTGGTATTTTGCTCCTCTCAAGGAATGTCAAGTCTCAGAGTTGTCAAATTAACTGGAGCAAGATTTATGTGTTCAGTGTCCTGGGAGTGTCTACAGGGTCTTTCATTCTTGATGAACCTAAATATAGATTACTCATTTTTTTCCATCATTTTCAAAGAACCACCTTTCAAGGTTTACCCTGATCTGTTTTCTATTCTCTTGATTTCTGAGATTTCCTTTATTATTTCCTGGCTTTCACTTACCTTGAGTTTAATTTGCTCTTCATTTCCTAGTCTTTTTGCTTTTAGATTTTTCTTCTTTCCTCATACAAGTATTTAACATTGCTAGCCACAGGCTGGGCATACATTTTCATCATTCCCAAATACTTTCTACTTTCTCTCATTTTTCCCTTGAGTGGTAAGTAATTAATGTGTTACCTCAAAAAGTCAGGTATTTTAATGTATTTTATACTTGACGCCATGCCCAGAGTCGCCATGCATTCTGCAGCCTTGGTCCTCCTGTCCACCAGCTCCTGCTCTTGTAGAGCTCCAATCCCAAGCAACACCCCCTCACCTCTCCCCACAATGGGTCATGCCCTCAGGAGCACGCCCCCGCCCTGCTTCTGGGCATCCCTGTGTGCCATGGGCCACTTCCGAGCAGCATGCTGCAGTCATGTGGGTGGCCTGCAAGTCGTGCTCAGGGCTGACGGCGCCTCCTGTAGGTGTACAGACAGGGAGGCACCAGGCAGGCAGGGGGAAGCAAGGAGCCATAGCAGAGACCAACAGCTGTCTGCGGGAAGAGTGGGGGATGAGCGCCGGATGGACATGGCTTCTACATAAGGTATCCTGGACAAGGTGACTTGAGACAATCAAGGTGCCAGCCTCCCTAGGACATGTCCCCCCACCGTCTCCTGGGGAAGGGAGCCTGGCACACAAAGTCTTTGCCCCAGGGAGGCTGTCAAAAGTCCGAGAGACCCTGTCCTAACACAGCTGCCACCCCTGCTGGGAGGCCTCTCTTGCGAGGAGCAGTGGTAGGTACCCCCTGAACCACAAAGGTGAGGGTGAGTCTGCAGCGCTGAGCAACACTCATTGGAGAAACAGAGTACAGAGCAGACATCTGTGCCAGTGGATGGAAGAGCCTACACGACAAAGGCACGAAGCCCCAGCTGCAAGGAGCATCTGCACAGAGCCCTCAGCTGAAACCCACTAGCTCTGCAGGCCTCTGCTATTTTCTATCCCAATGAAGGGGCTACATCTGATTAGTGACCTTGGCAAGGCCATATTGGGAAGTGGTGGCTTGTCTGTGCAGGAGGGGGGCCTTCACACTTCACAGCCTTCCTCTGGAGGGCTCTGAAACCTGAGCCCTGGTGCCCACAAGTGGGCACACAGTCTCAGGAAATCCATGGCTCTCAAAAGCATGGGGCATACTGGAGGCAGGGATCCGAGCCAGACCTGCCAGAGCTCCGCCCGCCCACCACACCAACACCCATGGTCGGCCCAGCTCTCCCCAACCTGGTACCCATCCCTGGGAGCTAAGTGCAGGCCTACCTGGACCGGGTGCGCTTCCGGCTGACGCCGGGGCTGTTGCTCATACGATAGGCGGTGGGGACACTCCTGTCTTCCCTCCGTCTCTCTGGAGAGTGAGCCCTCCTCCGAGGGGACCGGGAACGAGACCTGGGCAGAGATGATCAGGTTATTTCAGGGGCTGGCAGGGTCCTCCAATCAGCCCGGGTCTGAGCCTGCAGCTGGCTGTCCCACCACTGCGCTCCTCACTGGCTGAACCTGCAGGGGGCCTTGTACTAACAAACCCAGGGTGCTGGAGGCTAGAGCTGCAGCCACTTCCCACAACTGGGTCTGGGCATGCAGTGTCCGGCAGATTCAGGCCTGCAGCTTCTCCCTACTGCTTTTGCCCACTGCATTGTCCTAAAAACTGCAGCTCATTGGGACATCTGTCAAAACTAGGCAAACAGAAGTGCTGAGTCCCACATGAGCTGTTTCTGCCGATCTGCATGTGGCCAGGGGGGCACTGGGAGTAGTGGGTCACCAGGCTCTGTATAGGCTGGGAGGACAGGCCTAGCGTGGTGTGGACACGGCCCGGTTCACATGAGGCACAGCCAGGTAACTTGGGCTGAGCAATGCAAATCTGTGAGATCTCGTGGATACAGAAACACACACGTGTTTTGATCTTCCCTCTTGTTCCCATAGAGAGCCCCATGAGGGTCTAGCACAAATAGGCTGAACTCAGGGTCAAGGCCCTCAGGCAGGTCTCTGCACTACCTTCAGGACTCTGCTTAGATCTTTTTCCTGTGGTGAAAGGGCTATTTCAGGAAGACCTGCAATAAGCAGAAATTGGGAGAAAACAAAAATTTCTTTTTGTTCTGTTTCTATAACAACCCTCCTCCAAAAACAATAACAGGAAGAGCAATTTGATTTTCCCATTCAAAAATTACATAGCTGCATAATTGTCATTGTAAAAAATATCATGCATACAGTTATGCCCCAGGTTACTCCAACCACACAGGCCCCCCGCAGCTGTTCCAGAGCGCCCAGCACAGAGTCTCCCCAGGGCATTCCTGCCAACTCAGAGACCAGCTCGGTGCTCCTAGGCCTCTCCTAGGCATGCAGAACAGGCTCACAGTGAGCTGTCAGACACTGGGGATCTCAAGTCTCCCACAAGAGTTGCAAGAGCCCAGTCTGCTGGTGGCCTGAGCTGCCCAAACGCGTCTTTCCACACAGCTGCCACCAAGCTATGCAGACAAAGACCCAAGACCCTGCAGGGACCGTGGCCAGGGACGGAGGCCATGGGCAGGACCCAGAGATGCACACTTCATGCCCAGAACGAGTGTGCTGGCAGATAAGCTCAGTGCTTCAGAGCAGCTCTGCTTGGTCCCACCTGGGCACCTACAAATGTGTAAGTGTGTCCACAAGAAACTTGGTGATTAGGAAAGAGAAACTAGTTTCAATACTGAAAATCGTGTTTGAAATACAAAGCCATTTTTGTGGCTGCTAGTACCAGATTTCTTTCAAGGCAAGGGCCTGCTGCAGCAGACTGTCCTGGCTACAACCCAGTGGAGAGTCCTTGTGCTTGGGGAGTGGGCAGCCTTGACTGATTCCTCTACCTGGCTCATAGCGCAAGAAGCTGGGGCTCTGCCCAACATGTGCCCAGAATCTTCTTAAAATAGATGATGTAGCCTGAATAAAAAATCTTTGTGCATCTTGCCTCTTTTCCTGGCAACCTCAGTGGTCTCCTTTAATGAAGGTACAACGAGGTCCTCAAGGACAGGACCACAGTTAACAGCTGCCTCTGGTGTGGGTCTTGTCACCCTGGCCTCATGCCGTCACTGAGCTACCTACAGGTCCCTGTCAACCCAGCAAGAAGGTCTGGCCCCAAGCAGTGGGGTCCACGGTCCCAAGAGTGACAGACCCGGTGCCGCACCACCCAGCCTACTAGGTGGGTCCTGACCTCAGCCCCAGAACTTGGACACATCCACATACACGAGTGCCCCACCCTCCTGCAGGAGACAAGCTGGGACCTTGTGGCCTGCCACAGGGAGAAGAGCTGACACACAATCTCGCCATCACCCTATGTTCTCTTTGAATGTTAAAAACAACTGTTAGGAACAGTCCAGTGAGTACCCTACCACCCTCAGAGCAAACCAACGTCTGCCAAGTGACGTCCGCGTCCATGGAAATACCTGGCAGGACGGGGCCACGGTCAGTGAGGACTCCAACACCTGCCAGACTCACATGAGGCCTCAGGCCAGAAGTACAGGAACTGAACTTCCAGCTTTAATCTTCACATACTTAGTCTAAAAACACCTAACTATTCAACGGCATTTTAATTCCAGGTAGAGAGGCAGCTGCATGGCCACCTCTTGGGTCCACCCAGGGGGGGCTGGTATGATGGGAAAGCAGGAGACCCAAATTTAATAAGGAGCCACCCTGAATACACATGGTGCTGCCTGGTGATCAGGGAGCAGCCTGAGGGCGACGTGCCGACTTCCCCAAACTGAGGACTTTCCCATGACCAAGTCCTGGTGGCACGCCTCTCACTCTGGCTTGTAAGCAGGCAGACTCGGTGTGCTCAGTGTGCAACACCAGACTCATGGTGAGCAGAAGGCCTCTAGCCTTACTCCTGGTCTCACACAGGGCTTGGGTGATTGCCCGAAAGAACACCAGACCCCTGGCTGCCCCTGCCATGAGCAAGTGAGTTGGGTGCTACCCAATCCCAGGGCAGGGGCCATGCATGCCTACAGCCAGGTGTGCCAGGCCCAGAGATGGCTGTTGGTTCTGTGTGGGCAGTGTCCACAGTGACCAGGCTGCTGGGAGAGGCAGCCAGCAGAAAATGAACAGTGCACCACTGGCAGCACCAATGTTTCGGTTATCAGACTCTCGCTGTTTGTGCTGCAACGGTCTCTGTGACTGCGATTGCAGCCCCTTGCCCCGGGGCAGTGCTCTCAACCCAGAGCAGCCTAGACATCACCTCCCCGGAGAGCCTGCTGGGAGGGCCCGCCAGAAGAGCGGTGTGTCAGCAGTGCAGGGGAGGACACAGCATCCAGAACGCCGGGCTGTCCTCACAAGTGGAAGCTGAGGCATGAACCCACAGGTGAGGCAAAGAGGCGCCAGCTCCCAGGGACCGGCAGCTCTCAGAGCACGCTCTGCACAGGGAGGTTTTATTTCATCATATTTTTGCAGTCACTTTGCTTGTGCCCTGGTGTTTTATTGGAGTTGCAGATCCAACACTAAAGATGTGACTTTTATGACCATTCATATCAGTTCCTTGAACTAAAATCCACCAGCAGCATCACAATCCACCAGCTGTGCGGACTGAGGCGCCTGGCAGCACACCAGCGCAGGGCGGTCAAGGCAGACAGGACTGCCATCTGAGAGCACCCACCACCGGACTTCCTCACCTGATGTCTCCTTTGAAGTGTAAGTTATAAACCAAAGACCAAGCAGCCTTTGCAGTTACCACACCCCAGGAGGCCACGAGCAGGATGTCGGGAAGGAGTGCACTGCAGGCGGCATGACCGGAGCTGGGCCAACACCTCCAAGTGAGGAGCCTGACACAGAATGCTGGGGACTCAGAGGTCAGAAATGGCAGCCAAGCTGCTGCTCTGATAGATAACCAGGTCTGACGCGCGTTAAGATAGGGAGTGATAGAATTCCCGAAGAGCCAGCAAAAAATGCAGATAAAGGTCAAAGGACCCACTGTGAGGTCGTACAGCCCCATTTTCCTGCAGCTGCAACCAAGCACAGGGTGGGGCAGCCCACCAGGGGTTGGGCCCCACATGTGGGGGTCGGGTGGGGTGGGGAGAGGAGGGGACGACCCACAGGCTCTCCCCATAAGCCTGCTCAGCCTGCCACTCAGACACCACAGGGCCTGCCCCAAAAACCCTCAAGCAAGGGCAAGCAGGTGTGCTTTGCTTGCTTCCAACCAGTTAAAATGTAAATGAAATCTTGGCCCTCCCTGGTGGCGCAGCGGGTTAAAGCACAGCACTGAGAAGCTGAAGCCACTTCCGCATGAGTTTGATTCCTGCCTGCCCCGGAGGAGACCACATGGCGCGGCAGACCTCTCCTGACCCACCCGCTGCTCCCCTCAGCAGTGTACTTCGTCAGTCTGCCAGTTCTGCGCCCCACTCTGTCTCTGGCGAAGCCTCTCACCACCCCTGAGCCTCTGGCCTGTACCCAGGTTCTGTATGAATAAATAAACAAATCTTTAAAAAAAAAAAAAGTAAATAAAATCCTACTTTAAAATCATCTGGTAGTAGCTAAGCTTTAGAAAGTGAAGTATCCTCCAGTTGCAGGCACACATTGACCCCACCCTGGGCCCTGGCTTCCTGAGAGCTCTGCTCTCAGTGGGGCTCCGTGCCCTGCGGACCATGGCCACCCACCTGGAGCGCCGGGCTGTGCGGTAGGCGCTGGGCAGGCAGTGCTTGGCCTTGGAGCGGGATCGACACCGGGGCCGGGAGGAAGAGTGGCACCTGGGGGAGCGTGACCTCGTCCGTGATCGCTTTTTGTGCTTCTTCTTCTTCCTCTCTCGCTCTTCTTCTCTGGGGGGGTCTCTGCTTTTGCTGGACCGCCCTTCAGGAGGCTTCATGTCTGTAGCCTGCACAGGCCGGCCTCCAGTCAGCAAAGGGCCAGGCACTGCACTGGACTCCTGTGAACAGAGCAAATGCTATGGTGTCACAGCAAAAACAGATCCTGGAAGCTGCTGTGGAATGCAGCTGGGAGGCTGCACCCCAGCTTTCTGCCTGGAACTCCCACCTTCCTGCAGCTCTACCCAGCATACTGGCGGGCTATCTTTCCAGATGGAGTGGGGTGAGGAAAGAGTACCATGCCCATCACAACCCTGCAGGGTAGAGGCCAGGGGCACCTTCTCCTGGGGAGCTTGAGCATCTATTTTATTCTGAGAACATTCTAGATAGAAGCTAGAGGTGGCTCCTTTCTGATGTTTTGGTGCATCTGTCCAAGTGAGGATGATGCACCAAGGGGCGTCCACACCAGGAAGCAGCCCCTCAGGGAGCAGCCTGGGCCCCTGACAGAGGGAGGCCTTTTCACTGTGAAAATCAAGTGGTGCTTTTTGCCTAAGCAAGAGGAAGACAAGCCAAACCCAGAGCCCCGCCTGTGTCTACTGCCTTCATGCAACCTGCCCCTCCTATACCACCTTGCAAGTCCAGACTGGGGCTGCAGACCCTGTGGGTACAGACTTGGTGTGGGGCCTAGGGAGCCAGAAGCGGGCCATAGCCTTCATGGTCCCCTTCCCCACAGCACCAGACAGCTGACAAGGAGTTGTGCTTTTCACATACCAGCTTTGAATGCACCTAAAAACTCTGCCACAACTCTCAACTGGGAACGCAGGTCCCACAAAGTGAGGTGGATCCACGGCATCCACTCACCAGCTCTCCATGCCCTGGGGAGCCCCGTAGACACCAGGCCAGGGTGTCTACCCATTTGAGTGGACCCAATGCCCCTACCCCTGCCATGCTGTGGTCAGCAGCAAGACATACCCACACCTGTGACACCATCCCACACACTGCAGGGATGGATGCCCAGGTCTCTGTGAGCAACTATGAAAAGCAGGCCAGGCCCAGCCAATGTCTGGCACTGCACTTAGAAGGAGACAGGATCGACACCTGCAAAACATGACTGGTGACCAGTCACGAGAGCTGCTTCTAGAAGATGCCCACCCTCTCCCGTGGGGCAAAGACTGGCTCTGCGCAGCCTGTGGGCTGCACTGAGGTACCTGCTGTGTGACCTCTTTCTTCTCACTTTAAAGGTACTGAAAGGACATTAAAAAACAGCAATTAGGACCCTCCCTGGTGGCACAATGGGTTAAAGCTCAGCACTAAGAACTAGCTGCAGCCGTTTCAGTATGAGTTCAATCTCTAGCTAGGGAGATGACTCACATGGCCAAGACCTCTCCTGTCTCACCTGCTGCTCCCCTCAGCAGTGTACTTTGTCAATCTGCCTGTTCTGCTCCCCACTCTGTCTCTGGTGAATCCT